TCCACAATATCTTTTCAAGAAAATGTCTCGAATGTCAATAAACCGGACTCCGCGCCAGCCGCACCATAACCCAACGCCAATGATTACTCAACGTCGTCGCCTCTCATAACATCTTATACCTTATCCATCTCGTCGACGAGCTTCTTAACGGCATCCACTGTAGGCTTCGGACCACCAGCAAACGAGAGTAACACTTTGCCACTCTTGTCTACCGCAAAGACACCACGCTTTGTCTTGTGAGCTGTGCCTTGCTGCATACCGATCGCACCAATGAGAGTATACGCCGAGTTGCAGAGAAGGTCGTACTGGAGGTTTTGCTTGGTTTTGAAGGTAGTGTTTGACTTTGGAGAGTCACCTGAGAGGCCATAGATGACGAGCCCCTTGGAATGGAGGTATTCGCTACCATCGCGGAATGCGCATGCTTGTACAGTGCCTAATGGAGAGAAATGTGGTTAGCTTGTAGTTATAGAAATGGTGGAGCTCGAGCTCGAGCTTTGAGTTTCCAGATGTTTGTGAACTTACATCCTGGAGTATTGGCTTTTGGGTATGTGAACAGCACCACGCCTGCTTTGCTTTCGTCTACGAGCTTCTTCAGCGTCACCTTCTTTCCGTCTTGCGTCTCGAGCTCGCCGCCAAAGCCCTCCAGGTCGATGGTGTCGCCTACAGCTGGCGGTCCTTGCTTGCTGGGCTCGACATCAGGCTTGCTGGGTTCAGCATCAGGCTTCTCGACCTTAGCGGGCGCTTTATCTTCCTCCTCTTTTGGTTCAGATGCCTCTCCGAGAGCAGCAGCAGCAGCTGGGGCCGCGGCCTTTGCCTTTGCTGCCTTTTTTGGCGCAGGAGTAGGTTTAGCAGCAGCCTTTTTCTTAGCTGGTCGCGTTTCGGCTGGCGGGGCACGAGCAGGGCGTTTTCTAAGCTCCACCATGATGAATTGCGTTGGAATCGAGGTTAGAAATTGAGATGAATGAAAGATCAATTCAGCAAGATGGGAGAGATGAAGAAAACAAGAGGGCGACGACGGATGGAGCCGAGCAATCAAGGCGATAGATGTTGGACTTTTTGTAAACGCCTCTTTCCTCTGTAAGATCTAGTTGTGGCGGTCTAGGACCTCCTGCCGCGTCGAGCTGCAATTTCTCTCCAACCAGCAAGTAGAGTAACTTGTAAAATAAAGATAACAATCTGCAGATATTAAACATTGATTGTACCAATAATTCAATTCCCTAAATCTTCTGGCGGCGAGGCTACAATTTCTCAAAGTTGGGAGCCCTTCTCAGCACCCGCCTCTTTTTATCCAACACCCACTCCAGCGACGGCGATGTACCTAAGAGTATTCCTCTCCACTCTTGTTCTGCGCTGCTCTTCTCGTCCGACCCTGTTCCGTAATCCTGTTCTTCGCCTCACCTTAGCAAGTCCTGCGATACGTCAAAATTCTTGCGTAAATGTGCTGGGTCCTCGTATTAGCTCCATGTCATCCGTGGTTTCGGGATTATCCATTGCACTGAACGACTGGTTGTACTCTAAAGAGGTGATGCCAACACTGCCCCTTTTCCAGTCCAATCTCACTGATGGACTTACCAATTCTATCAAATCAAGCCGCACGTCACCATTTACTCATCTATGAGACAAATCCTCCTACTATCTATCTCTATGGAGCTACTACTACTACGTAACTACAGTCCGCTCTGGCCGATACTACTCGCTTTTGAATCCACTGAGAGAGAAGCCCGATGCACAAGTGCTACCAGACCTAGTCAGGCTATCATAATTACTTCATCGATTTCGAGTGCTGCTGAACAGCTGATCAGTAAGAACAAGTGTTTGGGCATATCCAAATGACCTCATGTTTGAAGCATACAACTTGATTCTTGCGGTCTTGTACTTTATCAGAGAGCTTAATTATATTATAGGCATTTCGAGGCATTGAGTTTGCCTACCCAGCATCTGAATGACGAAACAGGTCAAATGTTCATTTGGCCAACAATGCTCAAAAATATTCAGCAACTATCTCGAGATTCTCGACGCCCTTTGGTAATTTTTCTCTCGACACGGCTTGTCCGAGCCAAAACAGCTGCGGAAAGCCTTTGTACACATCAGGCGTGTTCTCTCGCAATACCCAGCCCTTCCATGAAATGGGTTCTCCAGTCTGAAAACCTTCACCAGGAGCCCACTTCAACAGCCCGTCCGTGTCGTCAAAGAAGAAGCCAGTGTCACCGCGATTTTCAAATATCTCTGCCTTCTCTAGTTCCGTACCGGAATGGATCTCTGCGCCTTCTGTGCTCATACACATGCCCCATACTCGTGTATCAAACCCAGCCAACAGCTTCCCATCTTCCTGAAAGAACTTGATGAACTTTGGCGGTTCTGGGGTTATGACTATGTCGGCATGGCCGCCTGAAGTGTAGCGCAGATATTGGCCGACATATGCACTGTTCGTGCAGGCTTTGACCTTTAGGAAGAAGTAGTTCCTGGCATTTGACATGGTTGCGCTGTGGAAGTAATGTGCTTCTGTTATAATAGTGATCCTGGAATAACAATGCTCATGAGAGACGGATAAGCATTGTCCTTGTCGCGGGTTAGCAATTGAAGAGGACTCTGGCTGAGACACCATGTTATGCAGTGTAGGAGACCTTCGATTGATCTTCTGCAAGATCTTGCTAAAATTAGAAACTTCTGGATGGATCGCCTAATGGTTCTATCTCTAGAATCAGATTGAGACCAGGGAGCCTTGCATGCCCTGGAAAAACAAGACAAGGTATCACTACAAATGCTCATACCGCTCAAGATTGTACTCATATAGGTAGGTAAGGCCTCGAAATCGACTTAGTTGGATCCACTTCCCCAGTCCGTCTCGACTCTCAGGAAGCATATTGATTGAAGACGCAGCATGGTACATTCAAGGTTATTATTTCTTGAAGCTGTATAAGGCAGTGTTACAGTATGGCTCATCTCAGGCTCTGACTAACTTGTTGACCAGATCAGTCGCTCACCAGAAACTGCCCCTGACCGGAAAAGGCTCAACGCTTTCTCAGCCCTTTCGAGCATATCCTTTCCTTCCATTATTCTGTAAGAAGCCGGTTCTATGTCTCCGGATTGTAGCAAGGCTGGCATAACGACTGGTTGTAAGTTATTGGCAGCAAACTCGTCCTGTCAGATTGTTAGTGGCAACAACGTCGCAGGTAGACTGTAGGATCCGGAAACATCACCAACCTTGGTATAAAAATGAGTCCTCACTCCAACAGGATTTGATCCATCTTTCCAGTCCACGTGTATTTCGGGATCTTTCACATCCATCGAGTAGATTGGCTCGACGGTTTCTGTTGCAGTTCGAACAATGACCGGCAGCATGATTGCAATGGTGGATCCAGGTCCAGCGATTTGAGCAATTGGCCTGACTGATCCTTCCAGAGAACCAATACAATCCACAAAATATCTGAAGCCCGGTGGTCCAGCCGCGTCCCTCAATTTCTCAACGACATCTCCGTCCCTGTAGTCGAATGCTTTAGTCGCACCTAACTGCTTCAATCGCTCGTGATGTTTCATTCCAGCTGTGGCCACAACATTGGTATAGCCCGCCCATTTCAGCAGAGGCAAAGCGAACCAGCCAACACTACTACTCGCACCCCAGACCAGCACTGGCGTATCCACGTTCCGAGGTTTCCAGCCATCAGGTTTCGGCCAAGGAAGCTTCATCCCCAGCTCTGTCCGCAATGTATGCCACGCAGTGACAAAGCTATCCGGCACAGTTGCGTAAGCTCGTTCATCTGCTCCGTCGGGTATGCGACCCATCATCGTCTCAGGCGCAGTCAGGTACTCCTGACCAGATTTTTCCTTGTTGTCACGCCAAGTGAAGCCAAAGACAGGATCTCCGATTTTCAGCCCAGTTTGAGTTTCCGGGCCCAGTGCAGCTACCGAGCCAGCAAAGGCGCCATTCCAGCCAACGTTGGGTAGGCCACCAAGAAGATTGCCATCCGCAACGTGTAGGTTAAGTGGACTAGATGCAGCATAAGATACTCGAACGAGAACCTCGTTGGCCTCGGGTGCTTTGGTGGGGACGGTATGAAGCTCAAGTGGAGCACGTTTTGCGATAGCTACCACGCGCTTGTGAGATTTTGGGATGGGTGTAGACATAATCACTCGTGAAGTATGAAAGAGTTGCCGAGGTTTGGTGCTTCGTGATCTTATGATCGTGATTCGTGACACCAACCTTGAACTTTATGGACGTCGTAGTTCTTTAGCAGGCAACTCGGGCTTTAGACGAACGCATACAAAGCGGAGGAAGATCGGAAATACGAATATACATCATCCGCATTATTACAAACCAGTGCAATGACTACATAACTTCCTTGTATGGAGCTACAAGTGGTAGACGCTACCTGTATTTGGTGGAGTATTTGTAAGCTTTGTGCAAGCCTCGTCAGGGTATTCGCCAACTCCAAATTTCTTTAGGAACTATCTACCCCTAACAAAAAGCGAGTCAATGAGTACGAATCATCGTACAAGTCTTAAGATGCTTGTTGGGAGTTGAAAAAAGAAGCAGAAAGTACCATGATATTTCCGCGGCTGAGTACGAATTTTGTACGAACGCGCCGTATTGCTATTTCGTTCTGGCCAGATATACATCTTATTCCAGTATATGAACGAAAACTTGGACTAAGGGTCAACACGTTGAAACCGAAAGCTACTGTTCAGCAAAGTGATTGACCACTATGATCTCACGAACGAGCTCATTCTGCTGACGAAGCTTCGTGAGGGAAGAAAACACATGGGGGAATTGTGAAAGTATTCACAAGAATGCGATCTCAGCTGTAGTAAATGACAAAATAACGCTCTGTTCGACGGCTTATCAGGTACCTCGATACTGAGTTACAAGACCCAGCTCATTGTGAAAAATTCAGGTTACCTCTGTGTGTATTGCAGCCAAAAAATGGTAATATACCGGTATTCAAAACTCAAAAAAAACACTCTTGTTCCAAGATGAATTGGACAGTTTCAAATGTAGAAGTTGCTTCCTACCCGATTTGAACGAGTGACTTCTTGATAACAATCATAGACTGTACTAGTCAAGCTATAATGGGTTAGTCAACCGCTAGCTTGAAGAAGAAAGATCGTCCTTACCGCTCTACCAACTGAGCTAAGGAAGCTTTGCAACCATTTTCGCATAAATTGTATATAAATCACTACTGCAAGTAGCTCCCACGAAGTTTTTCGAATAGAACTATTTGATCCCGAAATGGGAACAGTATTGTTAATTAATGCTTATGGTATTCGAAAATGAGTTTCCTACTGTCTGGTACTCTCAAAATATACTACCCATGCTTTCAGGATACATGTCACTACTGCGTGCGCTTTTATAGACTCTACAGCAATCAGATGAGGTTGGGCGCGATGCTAAAGCATTCTCGACAGTTCGAATCTTATCATCTCACTTTACTCATCTCTGTTAACGATACAAGGACCTCTAGATATTAGGAATGTTGGAAGTAAGTGTAGAAACTCTCGTCTAGGTCACCACTACCTACCTAGGTAGTACTTGTATCTTACAAATGATAAGATTTACCATTAAAACAACCTCTATGAGTAGGTAGGTAGCTACTAGGTAGTACTTACGCCATGTCTTTCGTTGCAAGATCACTCCCAGTCAGCTGTTTGATCTCAAGCTACACTTCATAATCCATTAGCTTTCACGCAATCGGGTTTATATTGTAAACATTTGGGCATTCTATTACGAAAGTGGTTATTGGCCACATGTGATAATCGTAAGAGAACCAAAAGCTATCAATCAATTGGCACACTGATAAGCGCAACATGAAGGACGTCGGCACCCCCGAAGAGGGTGGGATCAAGGCCATACGCACATTGAAAGCTTAGTAGCCATACTTCAGTTGCTCAGGGCTTTCATCAATGTGCAGGGCCTCCAGATGCTTGGTTGGATCCAGTCTTCCGTGTCGAAAGCGGACGTACATGAGCCTTTCATAACAATTCCCAAAAGCATGTCAGTTCTTTGAAGCGTTTTTGACGCTATTCATTGCCATGTGAGAACTGTACTATTATACATTTATCCCAAGACTTTCTTGCTTTCGTTCCATGTAACATGAATATGCAACATTAATTTTGAAAGCACTGTTTCAAGGTATTTTTGAGTTAGTCGTCTTCATCAAATCTCGGTCTCGCTCAACTATGCTTATGTTTCACATCTTAAAGGACCACTCTCAGCCCGAATAACTGAGAAGAATCGAATAAAGAGAATGTATCTGCATCTGCTCATCCAATCAGAGTTTTGGTATTTCTTCAATTCTGTTATTACTCTTTCTTTAGGTTAGGTGGACGATAGCAAGAAATCGAGTTCGCTTGGGCCACCTCTACTATGCTCATTCTCGGCCAATTGTTCCAAAAGGCTCAAGAACGGATCATTTTCGCCATCAGCTTCGGACACTGCAGAAGCCATTGATATAGCTGGAGTTAAATCTGATGTTAAGATTTTGCTTTCAGGGGGTTGCAACTTTGGCGTCGCTGATGGACTTGCGTCGAAGTGTGTGGGCATTGTGAACATGGGATCGAATGTACTTTGAGGTTCAGATCCGCTTGTGGGACTAGTAGCGTAGCTCAATCCTGGGGTGAAGCTATAGTGGTTTGCACTCGGCTCGCTGCCCTCATGATGGTTTGGAAAAGCTTGCTGAGGAAGTGGATCTGTTGCTGGCGCCGGGCCAGGTGATATTGGAGATTGGTTGTGATTTCGTAAATGGTCCCCATTGACCTTAGGGAAGACACCTTGATTAGTGGCTCGACGTTTTCGTGGTCTGTCGCCGTGACTCGATGCCAGTGTTATAGTCGAATCCTCAACGCCATCATATGGCGGATACATTGGAGGTTTGGTATAACTCGAGGCATAATAACCGTTCTGAGTGTCCTGGCTTGCATGTCGAGATTGTATCCTGTGACTGGTCAGCTCATATTTACATATTATGATGAGGTTCTACCTACACACTAATCTCTGAGCCCAAAGTAATATTGGCCAGCACCAAAAACGCACCATCGAAGACTTGTCCTTGATATCGATCAAAGAAGTCATCATAATTGACAACGGGAGGGACCCTAGCAGCATTCGAGGCGAAAGACCGTGCCAATTCGGAGTGTGCAACATAGATAGACTGTAGTGTATCTAGTTGATGCTGAGCCCCCGTGTAAATGAACCGCAAATCTGCAAGTTGCCGTAACTCCAGAGAGAAGAATTCCTGACTCTGTGAAAACACTTGGCCTTCACCGCCTCTGTAGAATGATCCATGTACGTGAATTGTTCCTGCTGTGCAGATACAATAGCCCACAAAGGCTGGCCACTCTCTGACGTTGCTTCGACTCTTCCAGTATTCCACCAATTCAGCGATGGCGTTCGCGTGAAGAAAGCACATATTTGTAGCCTCGATCCTCCAAGATTGGTTTTGTGAAGTTCCCGACAGTTCGAAAAGGTCCACTGGCAAGAAAGGCCGATATATCAGACAGTGGATCAAATGGTAGATGAGTTTGCTCAGCACCAGAACTGTGCTATCGCTGTGTCCAAATAGAAGTTCCAGTGACTGGAATATTTCTCGCGTTTCAGTAGCCCAAACATCTAGTTCCTGTCGAATTTTCGAAAGCATAGACATCGCATGCCAGGGAAAATGGGAGTCTGCCTTTGGACCACCCGCCGCCAGGTAGCGATTTGTGAGTCCAAGAATTCGAACTGCTTCGATAAACATTCCTACGGCATCTTGGTTGGATTTCAGACCTCCCATATGCTGCAAACTAGAAGCTCCAGAGAAATAATTACTTTCAGTCAGCATGCCGTGAACACCGGTAACGCATGGTAGTCGAAGAATGATACACTCGTCTGGTATTAGGCACGGTCGTTTTGACCCGCAAGCATAAAATCGGTCTAGGAGGTAGCAGGTCCAGAACGCTCGACGTCGTGTGTCCCGCTCCTTGGTGGAAATTTGAATGTGTCCGGGTAATTCCCGATGTAGGTTCAATGCGTATGCCATAGTGATTGCGGTAGCTTTTATTTGTTAGACGAGCATGAAAACTACATGTTCCAAACTTACAGAGATACATGTATGCTTTCTTTCCGCGACCAGATTGAAAAGCGTGCTGAGAGAGCAACAAGAGTGTGACTAAACTTGACATTTGTGGCTCATCAATGTCAAGTGACTGCCTAGCCTGCTGAGCATAATGCTCGCTGGCGGTCACAGCTTGATCATGATCCGCAAAAAGGTTCGAGGTTCTGCATAAACATAAGCATCGATCAACGCAAACCAAAGAACCACTTACCGAGAGCCCAATGCGTAAAGTGCAAGAAGTTGATGGGCATCGATAGAGCCGTTTCGCCATTTTCGTCGAAAGCAAGCTTCATCACAGATGTAAAATGGCTTTCCGTGAATTCGTGAAAAGTAAGAGTTTATGAGATGTTCGTTTAATTCGTTAATTCCATCAGCTGGTGTTTCCTTTATTTGTCTGCTGTTTGTTAGTAGACGCCATAAATATGCAATGATAGTCATACCGTAATCGATTGATGGGAGGAATAGAGTGGGTAATTGTTGATGCTGATGTTGGAGTTGTTATGTCAGATACAGCGTCAGAGACTGGAGTGTTTAAGGTAGAAGATTGTCCGTTTGATGAAATATCCCCTGAGGTCTGGATAGCAAGTCTCGAGGCATCTGCTCTCGAACTGGCTGTTTTCCTATCTTCTGGTTTTAATTGTTTCTCTAGCCCATCTATTCTTTTCAATAATGCTTCAAGTACGTCTGTTTTGGGCCCGCGTTTCTTTGGAACTGCATCTATGTCCGGTTCAGCTTCCAAATTTTCATCTGAGACTCTACAATCGAACATACCGTATATACAAGGAACAGCGAAGACTTGGCAAGCCTCACAAGACGGTCGAAGACGATTGCACTTGATCTATTATTTGTAAGCTATTGAACTCTGAGCGAAAGTCGCAGAGTCATACCTTGCGCTTGCGACAGCTTTTACAATTCATCAGTTCCCTCGGCTCAGTGGCCACTCTGCGAGGGGTTAGGCGATCGATACCGATTTGTGGCCGAGTCGGGGGAATTGAGGCCATCATCAACATTGGTTCTGGCAGCCCTTGTGGGCATGGCACTTCGTTTCCACGGCAAATGAGAAGTATTATTCGGGTGTGTAGACAGAGACTGATGTCGGACTGTTGGATATGTTTAGAGATGGCCAAGCAGCGACATTAAGCTGGCCTTCCAGTAAACATGGGCCAACAAGTTAGACTATGCAGGGACTTCGGATACTCGCGACTCCCTGGTCATCATCCGAGCTTGAGCACGAGGTATATGGGATCGACCAGGACGCCCTGTTCATTGGAAATAGGTTATTACCAGTATTCGCTGCGACAGTGCTGGCGCGCGGACAGCCGACAAAGGATATCTTACTGGGCTGACTATGTCTTGTTACTACACCAAGCAGGCCAATATGTACCACCGAAGCTTCGAAATATCCTTAAACGATGAGCCGCTGGCAGTCCTTGATCCTTCAAATGTAGATCGCGAGCTACATGCAGCGGTGGATCAACAAGTTTGATTCTTGCAACCTTTGAACATCGCCCTGTCTAAACCATACAGAACAAGCCCAAGCCAGGACCGCTTCAACTTACTACCGGGTAATTTTGTTTCGTTTGCATGCACCTGTCAGAAAAACATGGATAGAAAGGGGGTTGGACAATTTTGCTGCTATGAGGAGTGGGGCAAGAGCAGTGACGGGTAAGAGTAGTATGCAGAATGAATGATGTGCTGGCCACCGCTGGCTGCTATACGTTTTTATGCGTAGTGCCCCAATGAACACAAGGTCGAGATACAACGTGTATAGGGGATGTTCTCATGGATTAGCTTCAGCAAGCATTCGCCACTGTACAGCTAGGTACACTTGGACACACTTGGACTTGATTTCCGCTATGTCTTCGAAGAACATCTGTAGTAATAATGCGGGATCTCCAAACTAGATCTGACCCTAATGCTGTCAAGGTACGGCTTCAGGGCCGACTTTCCTCTGTGTTCTCCACGTTGATTTACCGGCACCGTGGAAAGGGTTAGACCTGCCGGGACTACCGAGCCCACTGGTGTTCAATGAACGACAGAAGACCCGGATT